TCCAATGATATTTTATTTTCTTCATTGTTTTCCACAAACAATAAAAAAAAAAAAAACAATAACAAAATCAATACATAAAATAATTTGCATGTTAATATTATTATATAGAATATGATTTTACATTCACATCTAAATAATACAAATGAACTTTTACTTTTTTATACAAATAAAGCATGAAACGTGCATGCATGAAGAAGGATGAACATAACAAGACATTTAAGAAGAAAAAAAAAGAAGAAGAAAAAAACAAAACACACACACACTCACACAATATATATATATATATATATATATATATATATATATATATATATACATATACACTTGCACAACACACTCACCAACTCATACACAAAGATCGTTTAAACACTTTTTCATTTCAAGTTTTACCTTAAGATTTTTTTTTTTTTTTTGAGGCCGCCATCCATGTCAAGCTTTGCTTATGATTGCGGTCTCCTGCACTTTTCCAACAGAATAGTTCGGATAATACTTTAAATTTATGATAATATGTTATGGATATAATAAGTTTCGTTATTATATGTACATATATTATGTAAACAAAAAACATTTTGACATGAAAAAACTATTGTTTGTTTATGTTGTACTATACCTTACATTTATATGTTCTTTGTTATTCAGTTATATTTTATTTGGAAAAATGCAGAACTAAAATCAAATCAAATAAAAATACACATATTAAAGACATATCTTACGACAGTCTTGCAATCAGAAAAAGAAAGACAGCTCAATCCAATAACAGCGGAGAAGAATAAGAGATAATAATATTGGTATTACATTTTTTGCACAGAAAGGAAATCACATCAAATCATTCAGCTGATGTTTCATTTTAAAGGCTTTTTAACTTGCTACATCATTGAATATTGGCCTAATTTTATTTATTCTCGCTATAACCTTTGCAACGAATCATGTGTAGTACTGTTATGGTACCTTCCTTTTGTATGTAATACGCGAAAGGGATTTAACGGCTGTGCGAACCAGCTCCGATGTCAACGTCTTTCCCATCCTCCTTCCCATCTCATACATTAAAGGAGTGTGGCCATTGGCATCTGATCCTCGGCATCTCGCGTGGTTGCTATAACAACCCCTCTCCTGCTCCTTCTTTATGATATGTAGGCACCTAGGCCCGTACTCAATTCAATACTTAAGTACAACATTTAAGCTTTTTTACTTAGTATTTAGCTATTTTACCCTAAATTTAAGACAGCTCCCTACCAGACTTAAGCCAATTCGTCCTTGTTTTCACGAAGTGACGGTAGTGAAAAAAATCGACACGCAAAGTGAATGCAATTTTTTTTCACTACCGTCACTTCGTGAAAACAGCGACGAATTATTTGGATGCCTTGAATGGTAGGCATATGGTTTTCTTACGCAGTATTATTACCTGTCTCAAAACTCTCTTCTTTGACCATGTTCAACAACTTCTTTGATAATGTTAATGTAAAGCGCTGTGCAGGCGCGTACGCAGGATTTTTTCAAGGGGGGGGGGGGTTTAACATTTATAAATCGGGCCGAAAATTTCGCAACGACTCAGCCAGCCGCTGAATAAGCGGGGGGGGGGGGGGGAGGACATTTTTTTTTTTTTTTTGGTCTCGAAATTTGAAAATTTGACATTTTGCTCCGTTGGGGGGGGGGGGGGGAAATTTGTTTATTTGTTTGGGGTCTCGAAATTTGAAAATTTGACATTTTGCTCCGTTGGGGGGGGGGGGGGGGGTAAGGTCACCTGTTTTAGGTCAGCCATGGAAAAATCCAAAGGGGGATTTAGGGGGGTTTACACACATAAAAATACAAGAGGGGGATTTAGGGGGGTTTAGGGGGGGGGGGTTAACCCCCAAAACCACCCCCTGTGTACGCGCCTTGCGCTGTGAAACAATTAGTTTGTAAGAGCGCTATAGAAATGGTTTTATTATATTGTGTTGTATTGTACAGTGCGTCCCAGAAAGAAAAAAAAACGAAACCGAGAACTATCGATGTTTTATCATAACTTAAAGGGACATGTTCCCCGTATTCCAGAGGGCGTTCAAAATACGTACCCGCTGGCGGACGGTGCTAGCTGCCTATTGACACAAACAGAATACGGCTCTTACGCAGATGGCATGTTCCGAATGCCCGCACAATGCCGAATATCGCATGCATGTGTCGAAGTAATACCAATCGCAGTTCGGCTCTAAGATTCGGCCGCTGTTTCCACCCACTTTCGAGACGTCACGATCGGCAGCGATCAGCTGGCTTGGCGAAGGCAGGTCAGGCCGCGCGTACTTTGATTGACAGCTGTATGCAAATTATAACTCGATCTTCGGAACCAAGATGGCGATGACTAGAGCAACGATAACTAAACTGGCGGGAACGTGCCCCTTTAATCACAATTATAATTAATAAATGACACATATTTGGAAAGCTTAGATTCTCCTCTTTCATTTGATGCATATCCATTAGATGATATTTCACGCATGAGTGATTAAAAGCAATATGAAGAGGGGAAACCAAAAAGTCATTTGGCGGGTGGTATCTGAATTTCAAGGAGAAAATCACATTTCTAGAAAGTTCAACTTCTGCCCTTTCATATGACACCTCAATCAGGAAAAATGAGCAAGGAATAACAAAGTTCTGTTTGCTTTAAAAAATGTTTGCATTTCCATAATTTAATCAAACGAGTTCGTTTTTACTGGCTTCTTGCCGTTGCAACGAACAGAGTTGACAAAAGACTTAACTCCGTTTCGTTGACGATCAGCCATGCACAACGAAGACGAAAGACCGGATGCATGGCTGATCTTCAACGAAACGGAGTTAAGTCTTTTGTCAACTCTGTTTATTGCTACGGCAGGCAGCCAGTAAAAACGAACTCGTTTGATCAAAATATGGAAATGCAAGCATTTTCGTAAACAAACAGAACTTTGTTATTCCGGGCTCATATTTCCTGATTGAGGTGTCATATGAAAGGGCAGAAGTTGAACTTTCTTGAAATGCAGATACCGCCCGCCAAATGACTTTTTGGTATACTCTCTTCAAATTGCTTTTAATCACTCATGCGTGAAATATGCATCATATGAGTTGCGTCAAATGAAAGAGGAGGGTCTTTCCAAATATGTGTCATTTAGTAATTATAATTGTGATTAAGTTATGATAAAACTAAAACATCGATAGTTCTCGGTTTCGTTTTTTTTCTGGGACGCAGTGTATAATGTGCATTACAACTAATCAATGGGAAAACGTGGTAACGTGTAAATCATGAACAAAATGTTATACACGCTTCAGTATTTGCTCAAAATGCATAAAGCTATATGTACTATAAGTCGACGATCTCCAGTTGCATTGATATCAGTTGAAGAGAGGACTTCCTACAGACATTAATAACAACACCTAGAGTGAAGTGGGTCTCTTAGGATTATATGCCCGATCCATTATAGAAAGCGTTGTACATAGTGTAAAGAAATATCATTGTGATCTTTAAGTGTTAAAGTAAAAACACAGGCAGTTTAGATTTGTATGTTGTAATGCTGAGTGATGTATCATATTTAGGTAATTATGATGCAAAAGAGTAAGATGTGTTCTTCGATAGGTCATGATTGATGTTATATTGGTTGTCGATGAGTAGGAAAAAGAAAGAAAGAAGGAAAGAAGGAAAAAAGAATCCCGTATATTGTTATCGCTCAATGTATAACCCTGCATTCTCAGCTCATCCTTTAAAAACGTTTTGGGGTGGTCATAAGAAAAAGTTGAACAACAATTTATAACAAACGAATGATTGAATAATTCATTTATGTCTTGATTCCTCTTACTTTTAATGCAAAACTAAGCAATCGATGACATACAAACAAAGAAGGGGGAGAAAGTATGGGAGCCAGAAGGAGAGATGTAGTTGGGACTTGGGAGAGCCAGTGACCCGGGTTCGATTCCCGGCGGAGACAGGTTTTTTACCAAAATTCCGGAGGGACGACAGAAATGAGGAACTTTCATTTAGGCGAGGCGTCAAAAATATCGATACCAGCAGGCTGCCGCCTCACGTATTGGCGCATCGAGGCTGCAATTACGGCCGAAGCCTGGCTGGGGCAATTATTTTTCACTTATTAGCCCAGCCGGCTTGCGCCAGGCTGGGATCTGAGGCTCGGTTTCCATTCGAAAGGCGGCAGCCGGCGCATGCTTTTGTTCGGAGACCATTATGATGACATCATGAGTTAATTAAGGGTCCTACCGCCAGCGGTAGCCGGCTGAGCTAATTTAAAAAATGCAGCCAGGACGCACAAGTGCAGTTAGCTGCCGCTGGCTGGTATATTTATTTTTGACGCCTCGCCTTAAGCTACGCAACCATTATTCTCTCACTTGCTTTCGAATTGTATTTATTTCCAAGAGAGTTGTCAAAACTGTTTTACGGTTATTTCCTTACATTTGTTTATGTTTATAAACATACATTAATATACAAATATTTATATAGAGATGTATATAGATATATACACACACAAAATACATTTACACAATGGTTTCCCTGCATGTTGAGACCTAATAAGGTATTCCGGGTTCACCTTACACCTTACACCCCCCTCTCTCTCTCTCTCTTTCTCTTTCTTTCTCTCTCTCTCTCTCTTTCTTTCCCTCTCACTCTCTCTCCCTTCCCTCTTATCTCTCTGTCTCCATACTATTTCTTTATCTCTCTTTGTCCCCTCTCCCTCTCCCATTTCCTCTTATATATCTCTCTCTCCATCATATCTCTTTATTTCTCTCTCTCACTCTATTTCCCTCTCTATCATCCTTTGTATCTCTGTTGCTCGCAATCACTCTCCCATTCTCCATCTCAGTTTCATTTTCATCTTGTCTCTGCTCCTTTATCTAAAGGATCTTTCTACCAAGGATTTACCACACAGAGAAAGATAGGCCGAGGACACCTGAGTAAAACCATTAAGAAAAAGGCTATACTTGTTTCATAATAATCGTTACAAAGAGCCAAACTCTTTAACGTTAAATATTAGAAACACAGACTCTGGTGATTTTGTGAGGTGCGTCATTTAATGTTTCGAGTATTACACATGATAGTAATTTCTTCTTCTGGCTTTTAACAATACGCTTCCTAAACTGATGAATCAATTTCTTGATTTATTACTGAATAATTAATGTTAAAGAGGTGTAGTCTAGATTATTTAGACGTATTCCCAAAATGATCGAACCAGAGGAGATAGTGGCCCTTAATCACGTCGGCCTGTCAGCTCTTTTCGTTGTTCCATGTCTCTCTGACTCTATCCTCGAGCAAAAGCATCTGTCATTGTGAGAAGTCGACAAACATAACTTTAATCAACAAAAGGATCTTTTCTTTATCCTGATGACCCCCAACCCTCCTTTGAACACCATACACATTTTAAAGAGAGTCAATATTTTTGCAAATTGAAAAGGGATTATTTTGCATTGACCTCTTATCTGCTTGAAAGGCCTAACAAAGTATAGGCTGAAATGGATAGTTTTGTGTATGAAAAGATCAGTTTGCTTCATTAGGCTTTGTTTGCTTCCTTAGTGAGATAAAACACATTTCCAAAACAGATGCCATGATTATAACCCCCCCCCCCCCAAAAAAAAAAAAAAAAAAAAAAAATCAAAGAAGGGGGGGGGGGGGGGCTGTCACCTCGCTCATCATCCATTTACTTTTTTCCCATTCATATATTTAACCCACTGCTCGTGTGTATTCACTTTTACTGCCATTTTATGAAAATTCCTATCATATTCATGAGGTAGAACAAGTTTTATAGAGACGACCTCCTTTCCACAATACGAAGTGACGTTTGCATGTCCGAATGCTGGGAGTTCATATACTCATTGGGAGAGGAGTGATGGGGGTGGGGTGGGGGGGGGGGGGGGGGCAATGTACCACTTCCTACAACTGTACCTAAATTAGTATGCAATACAATTTCTTGATCTAAATGTTATCATATGAAATTACCTGAAGATTTTACAAAATAATTAACAAAAATCAAACGAAGTTAATTTATATTGCCATATCTTTTTATTTTGAAACATGCAAACAAAATCGATTAGCACAATAGTTGTCATAATATTGAAATAATGTTTATGAAATGTTATATACTATATTCATAAAGCACATTACGTGAATACTTGGGTTAGCTTCATGACGTTAAACTATGTTACATACTATTCAAGCCCGCATATAACACACACGCACATGCATTACATGATCAGCAAATGATTTTTATGGCATTATGGTATTGAAATTAACCATGCGTTGATTTCGCGATCGTCTTTATAATGGCGGTTCTAGTATTGCCTAACTTACCTGGGTCGAGGCATATGGCGTTCTTGTTACAGTCACATGTTATGCCATAATATGTGCACACTGAAACAAAAACAAAATACAGAATGGACCAGTTATTAACAAAATACCCCAGAACTGACATAAAAAACATTTTCTCTCACCCAAATAACTATATGCCAAGATGAGTTAGGTTGCTTTTCAACTTTACTGCTATGATTCCTGTTACTTTCTTAGATTATGTCTGTAGCTACTTTATTACGACTTGCGTGTTGGAAACTTTTCTTTATATACACAATGTGAGTTATAAATTTGTTGGGGAAAAGTCAATTCCACTGGCTTCCCTGAAACAAATTGATTTCGATTTGAAGAAAAAAAATGATTTAAAGAGCGAATCAATTGAGCTGTTTCATTTTTTTTAATTCTTCTTTTGCTTCTTGTATTTTGATAAAGAGCACAATCGTGGTATAGTCCGTTCTATAATACTACATTTTGTCCCAGTCCCAGTACCAGTTCTAGGGAGTGGGATAGGTCGAGTGTAAAACAGACTTGTGAAATATAAAACAACATGACCAGTTCTCACGAAACCTATGGCTTCCGCAACTTGTCGAACTTCTTTTGTCTCAGTTACACAATCCACGCATCGAACGTTCTACCAAATGAGAGCCCGGATTTGCGAATGATACAATGGATAAGCATCAAACAAACTAAATCGAACTAAATACAACATACAAATTAAAAATCAATAAATGAAATATGTGGCATGCCTTTGTCTTGCAAATAAATGTCATATCATACAAATCAGGCATATGGAATCGAAATTGTTCAAGGGAATGCTTACTTGCTTCCTCCTCAACGTCGATCGACGTACCACTAGGGGCACTGCCACTGGTTGCGGCCACAAGAACGACCAGAAGAAATGCAGCAATGATGAGCTTGGAAGCCATTTCTATTTCAAACCTAGAACATAATGTTAAATTTATGTTGAAAATATGGCGTTATTTCATCGCGTGATCAGCTGAACTAGTCAAGCATGTAAAATGAGTAGGTTCAAAAGTAATTTCTTGAAAAATTGCACTTATCACTTTACATTCACTTTGTTTACGATGCCATTTTTATACATGCACTGTAAAAAATATCTGTATTTTTACAGGAAAAAAAATACAGATTTGTAACGTTTTATCTAAATACAGCAATTCGGATGTATTTTTTACATATATCCCGTAAAAGTACTTCATTTTTATTGTGAGACTGATTTACATCAGAAATTTGTAATGTTAAGGCCAAATACAAGTACTAATACAGTTTGCATGTAATTTTACAGATCTATCCCGTAAAAATACTTCATTTTTATTGTGAGACTTACTTACATCAGAAATTTGTAATTTTAAGGCAAAATAGGGTTACTAATACAGTTTGCCTGTAATTTTTAAGGCAAAATAGAGTTACTAATACAGTTTGCCTGTAATTTCACATATGAAATTGTTTACCTAAATGTATTTTTACAGATGTCTGTATTCGTACAACGATTTCTTAAATTGAATGGATTTGGTGCAGTTTTACTTGGATGTGATTTAATTTTAATGCAGTTACTAGATTCTTTAACAAAATTCTGTTTTTATAATATCGTTTTCATTGGACAGCATTTTACATTTCATGAAACTTATTTCACATATACTGTAGCATATTTACAGATTCCGTTTTCCAACTTTAAAATCCCAGACATGATTTCGAATAATTAGGCGTTACGAAGTAGAATAATTAAATTAAACGAGATTTAAAAGAAATTTAATATTGAAGTTTAATTTATATTCTACGAAGTATAAGCCTAATATGAGGAATCATGTCCCTCCCTGATTGAATGTTCTGTCAGTGTGACTATTAATACAATTGATTTTGTTGTCTTTTTCCCACCCTTCTTTGCATGATTGAATGAGCCTTTTGTCTTTGAATACTGATGCACGTGGCTTTGAGTGGGCTTCTTATACATGATGCGGATGATGCTCATTTGCATATGAATGAAGTCCCAGAGACTTTGAATGTGTACTATATTTCTACATTCATGCTGTAAAATTACATGGTGGTGAAAAAAATAAAACAAATTTGGGTCAAATACAAATACACAAAAAGGTACTTCCACACCAAAGGGAGGCGAGTTGGTTCAGTCGGTAAAGCGTCCGTCTGTCGAACCAAAGATCCCGGGTTCGACTCCCACCCAAGCGGATTAATGAAACCTGCGTTGTGTGTTAACGTGCCCCTTCCCTTGTTCATTGACGCAGGTTATGTCAAGTGGAAAACACTCCGTCCCTCGGATAGGACGTTAAATGGACGCACTATTCGTATAAGAGTAGGGGGAAACCCCGGTGTAGTGGACTAGTGGTCCACCTGCACACCCCCAGTATAGTACGATAATACTCTGTAAAGAGGTCTGTACTCAAAAGGAAGAAGGGAAAGCTGTAAACCAAATTAACAAACATTTGTGTTTATACAACGTTTTTGTACTATATTTTTACATTCATTCTGTAAAATTACATGGTGGTGTAAACAAATAAAACAAAATTGCTTCAAATACAAATACACAAAAAGGTACTTCCACACCAAAGCTGTAAACCAAATTAACAAACATATGTATTTATACAACATTTTTGTACTATGTTTTTACATTCATTCTGGTGTAATTTTAATCAACATACAATTTGTAAAAGAAAATACATGAAATGTTTGTAGGAGAAAATAACAACCAATCTGTATTTTTACAACATAATTTATGGCGACTCTGCTGACAGCAGATTTGCTGTAAAATTACAGAGATTTTTTGTACAGTGTGGCATGTCTAAATCAGTGACGAGCAAATCACAGAATATTAGGCCCAGTGAACATAGTCGTCATTTGCCTTTTGTAAGACGGTGTTGTGACTTTTATGGTTGAGGGCAAGCATTGTGATTGTAATAATGAATAATTACTATTTAAAAAACCTGACAGATACACAGAAACAAACAAACAATAAATGATTTAATGAACAGTGCATAATTGTTTTGAATTAGTGACATGTAGATTAGTTGAATTACATGCTGAGAATGCAAGGTTATACATCGAGCGATAAAAAAAAATGGATTTTGTTTAAATCTTTATTTCTTCGCTTTCCCTTTCCTACTCATCAGAAAGCAAGGTAATATCAATCACCAACCATCCAAGAACTCTGTGAAACTCTTCTGCACCATAACTGCCTGAGAATGATACATCACCCAGCATTACAACATACAAATCTGAACTGCATGTAGTTTTACTCGTCCTCCGAAATTATATTTTTTTAACATTCTAAAACGCTTTCTATTATTGATCTGGCATATAAACCTAATGAAAAGCACTTACCTCTAGGTGCTGTCAAATCTAAGGAAATTATCGATGTCTGTAGATGATCCTCTCTTAAGCTGCTATCAATGCGATTGGAGACATAATGCCTTACTGTTCTAGCTTTATACATTTTGAGCATCATCTTGTGATCCTGTTCTACCCCTAACCACGAATTCAATCAGAAAAACATATGGTACATGGATTTTAAATCCATGATTAAAAACTTACATATTCTATGCCTTCACATTTTGTCTCAATTACATATACATCATTTTGCCCTTGGCCGCAGACACCGCAGACAAGTGCCATATGTTATTATTTTATGTCACATGCCATTGTGTAACATATGTTCTTTTAAAACCTTTACAGACAACTTTCAGAAAGTCTTGAATTCACTAATTAAGTAACTTGTGTGTGCGTGTGGTAGAAATATACTTCACGAAACTCTGGTGTGACTATATTATCAATATTGTCTATAAGCTTTGAGATTGATTTTCTTTGCCGTTCGTTTGCACTATTCATCCTGACTATTATCACCTATCGACCTGTATTATCCAATTCATCTGTGGTATGTGTTTATATTGCAAAGTGCCAAATGACTATTATAATTGATCTAAGTTTACATCAATAGTATGAACTTTGAGCTATAATTACTGGTGATTGCCAATGAAATACAACAACAATATCTATGCTGCGCACGCCTGTTTCTTCAAACGTTCTCCAAATTTCAGCCTCTTTTTTTATTTATTACCACGGTTCTGCCCTTCAGTAGCTTCAATTTTCAATTTTCAATTTTTATTTCAATTCAAAGCCATAAAAACATTTGTATTTTATGTAACTATAAACTACAGATTATATACTCTATATAACACAGAGAACACATACAAAATGGAAACATGTTTACAAATATACCATAATCATACAAAAACAGTTAATCAATAGTAATATCTCTAGGGAGAGAATTCAAAACTATACGGCCAGTGTGTCTAAAAGTAAATAAAGAACTTGTTGATGGACATTTATCAATGAGTTTATCCATAGGCCTACTGTGCAAGACATGTACCATACCATGCATCACCTTATTCCAATTTCTAATGTATTACTCCTTTCCACCTTTACACTTTCTGTAGACCAATGTTTATACTACTTCTACTACAGCAGAAGAAGTAGCAGTCGTCGTCATCGTCGTAGGAGCGGTATCAGTAGCAGTAGTAGTCAGGGGCGTACGCAGGATTTTTTTCGAGGGGGGGGGGGGGTTACAATTAGAAAATCTCGCCGAAAATTTCGCAACGACTCAGCCAGCCGCTGAATAAGCGCGGGGAGGGGGGGGGGGGGGGGGGGTTGGGTAAGAGCACATTTTTTTTTTTGGTCCCGAAAATTTGGTAAGGTCATCTTTTTTGGCACACCCTTTAGCAATTTTGAAATATTTGTTTTTAAATACATTTTTAAAAAATGAGGGGGCTTCCTGCAAACCATACACATAAAAATAACATGGAGGGGGGATCGACCCCGAACCCCCCCCCCCCCCCCCCCCCTGCGTACGCGCCTGGTTGTAGTAATAGTAGTAGTAGTAGTCAGGGCCGGATCAAGCCGGTGGCGAGGGATTGGGGGAGGGGGGGGGGGTAGTGAGCACTAAATACATATATATATATTTTAAAATCAACACCTCCTTCCCCCCCCCCAATAATTCTAATAAACTCCCTATTATTGTTATTATTATTATTATCAATTCCTTTTCGTTGACAACCAGTCGTGCATGAAATATTTCGTATATGGCTGCTCTTCAATGTAACGTTAAGTCTTTTGTCAATTCTTTTTTGTTGCTACGGCAGGCAGCCAGTGAAAACGAATTCGTTTAATAGAATTATGGAAATGCAAGCATTAATTTAAACAAACATAACTTTGTTATTCCTAGCTCATTTTCCCGATTGTGGTGCCATATGAAAGGGCAGAAATTTGATTTTCCCTTTGAAATTGAGATCCCGTCCGCCAAATGACTTTTTGGTTCACTTTCTTCAAATTGATTTTATTCACACATGCCTGAAATATGCATCATACGAGTTCTATCAAGTAAAAGGGGATCTAAGCTTGACATATATTGGTCATTTATTAATTATAATTGTTATTAAGTTATGATAACACATAGATAATTCTCGGTTTCGTTTTTTCTGGGACGCACTGTAGTCTTTTTGCCATTGCTCGTCATGCATGCAACCCACACAGACGGTCCACCTTACTGGTGGGAATGCTCCCCAGGGTGTGAAGCTGATGCACAAACGTGTGCAGGCTTGAATTCGGATGTAACACTGAGATGAAAATCATGATTTATTTTGAAATAAATATCTAACGTGTTGGAGGATAGCAGGCCTAAATTCTTTTTGAGAGTCCTAAGTGGGAACAAAGTGCAATGTGTATTATGTAAAGAGTTCAATATTTACAAAACTGTTGAGCATATCTTACACTTAACACAGATTTATGCCCATCATGTTCCTATGTTATATGACCTCCACTTGCAATCGGTACACACTCACACACACGCACACACCCACAAACACACACGCACGCACATACACGTACATGCATATATATGCATGCAAGTGTATGTATATAGATATGTGGCTGCGCGCGTGAGTGTGCGTGTGTGTGTGTGTTCTTGCGTGTGTGTACGTGTGTTTGTGCGTAATATATATTTATATATAACTAATGAGTAAATGTATGGGCTTAAAATTTCATAACATCAAACGAACTTATTATATAATGAATATGATGAACACACATAATAAATAAGCACATTTATATATTTCTGGTTTCATAACGCTCGTGCAGTTATTGTTTTAAGCAAAAGTAGAATCCTGTCAATTTCGAAATGAATTACACGAAATCCCACTTACTCGGATCAAGAAAATCAAATAGCAATACATTGACCAAATTGCACAAGTGCTGAGACATAGACATATAATTTATGTGGGACGTTTGATAATTGCTTTTAAAACGGAAATCTAGGGGAGGGGCAATTATTTTCTATTATACAACTCACTCCCAGATCCTAACCAAATGATTGGTCATGCGCGGTCACGTGTGATTCATTTACTGAGCCTATTGCACTCATATTTTAATGAAAAGGAGTGCAATATTTTCCAGTACTATTGAACTCGTTTTCAGAGCGCAGTAGTGCGCGTAGAGGTTAGCGCGTAATACTGCGTGAGCATGAGCCTATTCTTGCACAGCACTATGCGTAAATGGGTATAGAAGTAATACATGTAAGTGCGCTTGCTAAATCTATAGCTATGTGTGCGCACTAAATTAAGCCTTATTAAACTTGAGATTTATTTGTCAGCCATATACTGTCACGAAACAATCTTGAATGAATTATTTTTACATCAAATAACAAGGATCTAGGAGTTTCGTTGTATAAAACAAATGATGCATGTTTTCATTCGTTGATTATACGATCTATCCGCCCTCGTTGATGATGTGTGTATCTATCGCACTCAGCCTGACGGCTTCGTGCGATAGATACACACAGCCTCAACTCGAGTGCGGATAGATCGTATAATGAACTCATGCGCATGCATCATTTGTATAATATTGAACCCTATTTGTAAGAAAAAAGGGATTGGAGTTATTTACATTTCTAAAAATATGCATCAAGCGGGAATATTTGTTCTGTATAGAAAATATTACGAATGTATAAATAACAAAGCTCCAAATAATTGAATTCGTATATATTAAGTACTACATAAATACGCACACAAAACTCTCACACAGACCCCATGCGCGTAATAACTTACACTTTTGTAATACTCTTCAAAAATCAAGTAATTTGGGGAGAGCAATATTCCCCTTGCAAAATGAAAAAAACTGCCAATCGGTGCCAGAGTTAAGAGTAAATTATATGCATATTATAACATGTCTAATATACATGTACCTAGACGTGAAGGGCTGAAAAGTGTTGTGTAGGATGTTTCCTCTCCTGTGAAATGTATTTCAACAAGCATATGTTAATTTTGTTTATGGGTTCTCATTAGTTTCTTTATATTATGTATATTTATTCAGTCCGGACCTAACACAGTTTAATTGTGTTTTGGGTGTTAAAATTGATTTAATAAATGTGTTAGCATTTACTTTATCATTAAATTTCATATAGTAATTATTAGAATGTATTAATTTATTCAATATCATCGGTTATTTATCTAGTAGTAAAGTTTAATGTTGGTCTGTATCTACCAAACTGTCGCCGCGTTTATAATGTTAAAGTGAACCGGTATTTGTTTGGAATTGATGAAAAAACTACGTATTTGCAGTATGAAATCTGACTTATTATATTCCTTATACTGTACTAATCCTATAACATGCAAACAATCCAGAAAAAAATCTCAAACCACAAACATATTTAAGGTTTTCTTTGAAGAGTCACTGTGCAACACCTTCTAAAAGAAAATTCTTTCAAGCAATTTTTTATTCTCCTTAACCGTTTCTCCACGAAAATAAGACATAAAACAAGCTTTAGTCTTGTGTTCAATACTTAAAAGTTAAGAATTGTATATAAAGACGATTATCTGCTTTGTGACAATTTAAATTTACCTAAAACTGAATTCAATAATAATAATATAGTTAAAATAATACAGGAATCGTTCAGATCAGTTTTTCTCCAATTTGTATCAATACAAATGGTCTGTTTTTACTCAAACATTCAGATTATCTGTTATTGTGCATCTAGCATTAAATTCATTACTTTAGAACCAATTTCTCTCATCTAAAACTGTTAGCATGTTCCTTTCGTACTTGTTAAGAATTTCGTACGGTAAAAGTAATTCCAAAAACGTAGGAAAACGATATGGTGTAGAAGCGATCGCTACCTAATCTGTAATGAGTGATCTTTTGTATACCTCCAATTTTATTACTCGGAATACCATTCTTATTATCATAGGTATTATATATGAATCATTATAGTGAAAATCATTTGGCTTTTGAATTATATTGAATTCACAGACAAAATGGCAACAATAATGATAATGATGATGATATTAAAAGAAAATAATAATGAGGAGGAGGATTCAACTGCTACACTACTGCTACTAC